AGCTGCCACAAGGCATATGTGGTGTGCTTGCCCTTCGAAAATTCGTAGATGACAGTTACAACTCAGACATTTACTGATGAAGAGAATGGTGGCGTGCTTGACTAGTGGTTCATCTGTCTGTGCAAATAAATTCTTCAATACCTAAGTGGATAGTGGAAGTACAAAGGGTTGTGACAGGGAAGGGTCAGGTAAAGTGACCCGTCATAAGGATGAAGTGCCTGTAACATCTCCCATCTCTCATTCTACAAGTCTTTGTACTTTGAAGGTTGTGATGTAATTTGCACAGCTGAAATATAGCTGTTACTGACCACATGACTTTACATCATATTTGTAATTACTGAGAAGACACTTATGGATATGATGAAGAGGAGGATACGCAATAATTTATACATATCTGTGCAAATAAATGGCTAAGACGTGGAGAAATAAAATAACTATATCCAGCAGTTTAATGTCAAGGTATAATTATTGTGGCCTACTTGTGTAATGAAGCATATTATGTTAGTATAATAATAAGTATAATTATAAGTATAAGGACAAGTGGCCTACCGTGTGAGCTACACGTGGGAAACACTTAAAAGGTACAGCAAGAATGGTATTGGAAAATCTTTGTACTTACCAACGCACTGACTTCGTTTTAACCAGCCCTTCCATCAAAGACGGTATTTCACGCCCCCAATGGTTAACATACTTAATTTACGCAATGTTTGCATATTTATGCCCATTTATGACTCATGCACTGTTATGAAGTATTTATTTAGTTATTCAATCATATTTGTCATTTGATATGCTTGATGTAAAACACGTGATAAACAGATGTATGTCATAGCAGCGAAAAGCAATTATTTGACCCTTTGAAAGTAAAAATGGAATGACCACTATTTTAAAAACCAAGACTGCCTACAAACTACATTTGAACCAGGTGACTGTGTAACTTGTATTAGGGTGGCGAACCAGTAATCCATAACATCAATCTAAAATTTCAAGAAGTGAGGGAAAATTGCCAAGTATTATGCTCAAGCTCCAAATCGCAACTTTGTAGTAAATATCATAGTGGTGAAAATTGATCATTTATCCCACTTGTAGTCGTTCCGGAGTAAGAAACTTGGATTTAAAATAACCTACATAGAAATCCCAACAAAATTATGGAATATTATGTTTTAACTACATCTTTTCTCTGGTTTATACTTTGAAACTACAAAGATCTTTTTTTTTTTTGCCACGAAAATTTGACTTTAATCAATATTCATAAATACGTAAATGAGCTAATTAACATATACGTACCTTCAGAATAGCAGATCATTCATATTCTTCGAGTTGGAACCAATTTCAAGCGACCCCGTTGCCAAGGGGTTGTCACGGATTCAAACTGGTGCTCCTCCAAATTTTATGGAGTTCATGCATTTGTACATCACTTGATCTAGTGTAGAATAACCTATCCTAGGACGAAGTTCATAAAGTTCTTTAGGAAAGAAAAAATATCAGTTCAATACAGCGCCCCCAAATCCCCAGCTGGAGAGTCTTCGCTCACTACGTTCGCTTAAGATTTTCATAGTTCTTTCGGAAACAATTGAAGTTGGTGCTCCCGCTAAAATTATATCTGCCCTTCTGTGTGTGTGTATCGCTGCCGACGTGCCTGATTGTAAGCTTCCATCTTAAAAATTTAAGAAAGATATGCCCAAATAACTGATGTATATAGGGGTACTAGCGTTATAGCCCGTCAAAAATGACCATTCCCTAACATAAAAGACTCTAACCTCATATTTCATAGCTAACTGAAATAAATAAAATTTGCCCAATAAAGAGACAGAAAAGTGCAGTCGAGGCAGTCAAATATCGGTAAATTCCTTTATGAGCCAATCAAACTTAAGAATAATTATTGATAAAAATCAGTTAGATTAACAACTTTTAATACATAGAAAAGCCAGTGCGTTTTGGTAACTCTACATTCCAACAACAGCTTTTATGTCATGTTGCTTAGCAACTAAAGTATAACCTAATATTGTTTTTAGTCTTTGTACTGACAGTATAAAATGACAACAAAACTGGAAAAATATTTGTTGATTTCTTAGTTTAAAGTCTCAGTTGATTAAAAAGGTTTGTTTGTTTTATTAAAAACGTCGATGATATAACAGAAAATAGCTTAATTCAAAAACGATTTAAGTTTAAAATTGAATCGATATTTTTACTTTCATGAGAAATTTTATGCACTTGGCCCTTGACTATGTGATCCCACACTACTTTGTTCTCCTGAAAAAGAGTAATCAACTATTCGAAAGCGCTCGAGTTTTGGGTCTCATTTTAAGTCTATACCAACACTCGCTATACTTATAAGGTATTATGGTCCACTTGCATCTCGTCACTAAATTCGTAATGGGCAGACAGTATTTGAACTATTATATCTGGATAAATGCATTTTTGGCTTTTATGACTCCTCCTATTTCGAAAAATCAAGCGTGACGTGACACACACACACTAGCTTTTATATAGATCATGTTAAGTACGTTACCATGGAACAGCTCAATTTCAACACTTTCGTTTCCTTGAAACTTCTTAGGACTACCACATTCAAAGTGTGCACACATTTTTAGTAGGTGTCTGACACCTTTTGTACTCAGGCACATAAACAGAAATGCTTAAGCTCTGTAGCAGTGAAAGACTAGAGGGATAGCAGCTAGTCATCACCACTTACCGCCAACTCTTGGGCTACCCAACGAATAGTGGGATTGACTGTAACATTATAACGCCTCCGCAGTTGAAAAGGTAAGCATGTTTGGTAGACTGTGGTTTCGAACCCGCGACCCTAACCACCTGGCCATGCCGGGCCATCTATTGTAGTAATAGATTTATACACAGCATTCGGCAAGCTTTTGCACATACACTCAGAACTATGGAAACGAAAAAAAATGTTCATTGTTTAACTTTGTTAGTATGCAAAATGCTAATTGAAGTAAATTACTTGACATGTTTAATAAAAGAAAATACTCTGAACTTCAAAACAAATAGCAATTCTGAAGACGAAAAGCAGAAGACTTTCGAAACGTCGTCCTCTACACTTGTGTCTCTATAACAGGCAGTTTCCGTCCATTCTACAAAGTTTCATCAATTCTAGTACAGTTACTTCAAATAAAATAGTAATCATCAAAAATATATAATCAATGTTAAAATGAAGTAAATAAACATTAATCCTTATTCTAAAATTCTATTTTGTCAAGAGTTAAATAAAATGGATAATAATTGTAATTCACTTAATCAATTTCACATCATAACAGTCACTGTTCGTGAAAACTGATGACATAAACAGCGCCCCCCAGTGGCACAACGGTATGTCTGCGGACTTACAACACTAGAAACCAGGTTTCGATACCCGTGGTGGGCAGAGCACAGATAGCCCATTGTGTAGCTTTGTGTTTAACTTTAACCAACGACATAAATAGACTTTGTCGGTGCTGGATATAGCAAATATTTGTTTGTTTGTAATTAAGCACAAACTACACAATGAGCTATATGTGTCTGCCCTCCACGGGTATCAAAACCCGGATTCTAGAGTTGTAAGTCCGCAGACATACCGTTGTGCCACTGGGGGGCGATGTAGCAAATGTAGTGTGGTTGATATAAGATATTCATCTTTACTTTCGCTTATCAGCTCTTAGAATAACAAGCCAATATTTCGACTTCCAGTTTCATCTTTGTAACTAGCCTAATTGTGTATCAGTTACACTCAGTTTTTGTATTACCTTGAACCCTGCTGAAGAATAAGTCGAAATACTGGTATATTAAAGTATTACTTTGTTTGAAGTTGAGAGTCGTTTTTCTTTTTCTGCATTTTGATTTCAGATATTTCACTGTTTAATTTAATGTCTTTCGAAACATTTTGTTGAAGTCGAACAATAAAATCTATACGAATAATTTCAACTTCTATCTTTCAAAACAAACTTAGATATCAGAGATTTTTTGTTTTTTATTGCACAAAAACTAAAGTATTTATTTAGCATTTGTGTGATAAAAGGAATTGTGACCATTGCCATTTTTATCTTCCTATACTTATGAGTCGCAGTTGATTTCTACTTTTTATCCCATATTTATGTATATACTTGCCTAAATAGTTATCCATGATCTCACTTTATTTGACAATAAGTTTATCTAACGCGGTATATGAAAATATACATTTAGATAACTTATTATCTAAAAGAGCACAGGCGCATATGCCTAGGGAGGAACAAATAACTCTACCTATGAAGCTAGAAAATGCTGATCACATGGCTATTGTTATCCAATCAAGCGCAAGCTTCCGGCGTGAGCCATTTACAGGCGCTCTTCTCCCCGGTTCTGCACAGAAAACTTTTATCGTCAGCCGCCATATTAGTTTGTTTCAAAATACCAATCAATAGATTTAGGAAAATCTTCCGTATTTATGTTTTTTTGAATATCTTCTTTAGTTAGATTTTGTACGTCTAGTCGTAGAACTTAGAAGGAGTTCGTGGAAGAAAAATTATAATCTGTTAATTATAATCTAATGCAGCCCCTAGTGCCAGAATCTAAGTTTAGTACCTTTTGATGTCAGCCGAATCACAAGCTACCTTACTCAGGAAATGAGCCGTAACACTGTGGGTTTGACGGAGGCAGGAGATCATCGGGATGTAGTACAGACAATCACGACGTCAGTTCGACGAAAGATGGCCTGAAATTAGACATGTGCATAACACAGTCCTTATTTCAGTGTTTTGATTTTTTTTACATTAGATTATCAAACTGGATTTGGTATTTGATAGTATGAGATTTTTTAAATAACGCCTTTAAGTGTAATTTAAAGAAAACATTTTGTTACTTAGTTTGTTAAGAGACGTTATATAGTGAACAGTTAAGCCTAACAACAGTCATACTCAAAGTCAAACTGGCTGACGACTAGGCCTAAATTATTACTTGCATTACAAATTATATTTGTAATTGTAACATTTGTATTGAGACTGAGAGCTACAGTCGAACAACACTTGAAGAAAATGGCTGAACTTGTAGATGGAAGACCACCAAATAAACGACAAAGATTATCAGAAACGTCGCTAACAGTGTCAACAACAGATAGCACAGGTAAAAACAATTTATTCAAAAGTAGGCCTACAAAATTATAGTTGAATAAACTACGTAACTTATTACAAGTTACAAATGTAACCTGAAGTAGGATAAATTGAAAAACAAAACGATTTATACAAAAAATAAAATGACGATATAAGTTTGGTAAGTATGGAACTTGGATTAAGAATCTACTCACCATCATTGATAATTGATTTGATGAGAAAGAGTTCGTCATTACTATTTAGGTGTGAAACTGTAGGTTTGTATTTAACAAATAACACTACTAAAGACTACATAGTACCTCGTACTACTTACTCCATGAAATCATGTTGATCAGCATTTACATATAGAAATTTACCAGTCAAAATTAATTTTTGAGATTTTAGGCCAACTAAAAAAATGTTTAGTGTCTGGAGTTTACAAAAAAAAGGTAAGGGGAGGTCTTTTTTTAATGACCCCTTTAAAAGAAAGTTTGCACTATTTTTTAATTATTGTTGCTTGTTTGCAAATGGTACATGTCAAACACAAGTCTTTTGTTTCATCAAAACAATACAGAATTTATGACATATAAAGAAAAAGGGCAAAATAAATCAACTGTGTTCATCTCATTTTGTATTAAGAATCTTCTTTGTTTTTTGTATGAATTTTTTTACTTGGCTTTATTGGTAATTTATCAAAAGCCAATAGCTATTTCAAACTAGTAGTTTGAAATTTTTTGGTTAACAAAACCGGTGAGTTTGAGGAACTATGAATAGTGAAATTATCGTTAATAAATCAATGAGTATGTTAACGCTTAATTTGTGAAATTGTTTGATGTCAGCATTGGAGGATTAATTCTCAATTTTCATTATCCTTATGTAAGTAAATATTTTATTAAAAAAAGAGCTGTTTGTATGGCATGTACTAAAATATTAACTTATATTTCTTAATTTCTGGTATAAAAAGATGACCTTGGCTTTACTTTTTATAACCTACTTTGTGTTATCTGTTACTATAGATGCATTTTATTTTTCCAATGAAAAATGTTAAATTTACTTTATAATAAAGTAGGTATGAATGTTTCTTGTTTTAATTTTTTCCTAAGTTCTTCTAAAATAACATTAAACTTTTAACTTCATTTTTTTCTAAACAATTTACCAAATTCTTATATTGTCTATTTGTGTAAGTAATAAACTTAATTGGGCTAACAAAGAAAATGAAGTACTGGACAAAACTGGTGTTATTTTTCTAGTACAGTTTCATTGTTTATAAAAAAAAAATGTATATAAAATTCAGGCAACATTTTCAAATGGAAAAACTGATCTACCATTTTCAAGTGTTTTAACTATGCATGAATTGGTTTTCAAACTATAACCAAAACTTGACCACTTTTGAATAGTTCACTGTTCTTCTTTATTCTCCTAAAGAAGAATAGTGAACTTTTCGAAAGTGCTTGAGTTTTGGGTTTTGTTTGAAAACCATTACACCTTTTGTATGTGATCCAGTGTGCTAACTTCTTAATCAGAAACTATGCATGAATGTAGTAATATTTGTCTGTGAATAGCTGATATTCCTAATTTGAAACAAGTCTTTTTATAATTTTTTCTTTTTGTTAAATGTAGTATATATAAGGCAGATAAAACTTGCATCACAGCAGTAACTTAGAACAAGTGTTTCTGTAAGTGTAAACGTCTTCACTGGATTAAGAGGTTCTTTTATAATTCTGTTTACTTATTACTTTATGTTATATTACGCAGATATATGTTTCAAGTTGCAAATAGTGGTAATTGGTCACTTATGTAAATGTTACCAATAAAAGTTTCTGTTGTGATTATTACTAAAAGCAATTCAGTATAATTTAAGATTAGTGAGCAATATGGAAAGCTGAAGAGCTAATGAGACAGAATCAACTGCTTTATGAGATAGTAGAACTGACTTCATAGAGGAGTCCAATATAAAAGTACAACTTATCTGTCCTAAAGCATTATTCAAATACATTTATTTTGAAACTTTATTCTTTTCCAGATTTTAACTTGGGAAGCTTGTGGGATTTGGAAAATGAACTCCCAGAAGAACTTGCAAATGACAAAAGATTGATTGCGTCAGAACTAGCATCTGAACAAACTCGGCAGTTGCCATCGAGTTCTGGTCAGAATATGCAGAATGGTGTTTTAGATCCATCACTTAACCAAAGGGATGATGGTATTGTACCAGTACAAAAAGCTCAGCAGTTATCTCATCTGCTACAAAATAAGGTAGTGTCAAGTCTAGCAAGTTCCAAGAATCCTTCAGGAATGTGTAGTAACCAGACAGTTTCTAATCTTAATGTTCTATTACAAAATGTACAAAATCCTCATTCAAATCTGACTTCTTCCAGTATGATTGGTAGTAGAGCTGGGACGCCAGTGTATAATGTTGTTCATAACCATAACACGAGTTCTGAAAATTTACCAAATACTCTGATAAACAGTGGATCAAGTATGAATGTAGGTATTAATTCAGGAAATGTGGTTACAGAGGTTAACAGAAGTGGACTTTTAAGTTCCCAGGGAAAACTCTTGAACTCAACAAACAATATACCAATCCACCTTCATCAACAGACCCAACAGTCTAAATTCTCCCAGCATCAGTTGCAGCACCCTCACCAAACACAGCAGCTTCTTGATGGAGAAGGAGTGAAGAATGGTCCTCGCATGACGTTAAACAGTCTTGGAGCTATACGAGTGCCTACCACTAGTGTGTCGCCCAGTAACATAACATATAAAACCTTGTTGGGCAGTGCAATTCTTCAGAATGCTACTCACCAAAACCTTCTTAGCCAGCTTACCATCAATACCTCTCAACCCGTGAAGGTAGAGTCATTTTTTGTACTTCTTAATATTGGCTTGAGTACCTCTATTAGAAATCCACTAGGCTGTATTAACTCATGTTTGGTTGATTAATCCTACAACGGCAACCTCAATTCATAATCAAAGATTTATTAAATGCTTTCCAAAACATATCATTCATATGAGGGAAAAGTTAGGCTTCCTCCAATTTCCACTAAACCATTTCCAAGAACAGTGATTATCTGAAATGTATCCTTTAGAGCTGGAAGATTAATAAACTTTGCTAATTGATTATTCTCACAAGTGGAGCTGGGCAATTAGTGGAGTTTAATAATTGAATAATGTTGAGCTCATTAATCAGTTATTCTCACATGAGACTTGATAGGAATAATCAAAAATAGTAATAATTGAAATGCTAATTCCAGTTTCTTGATTATTTTGGTGAGTCATGACTAATTAATTAAACTAAACAGCTTTAAATTTGTAAAAAATAATATTAAGTCATAATGGTTATCTTTGTGTTATTAGTCATTTCAATTCTGATTATTTTATGTGATTTTATCAATGTCATAGGTGACTCAATTATATCAGTTAATTTCCCAGCTCTAAATTATCTACTAGAAACTTATCATATTGGCACTTTGATACTAGTTACATGTTTAGCATAACTTTGTACATTATCAAATGTTAGCAGCATGGTATAGAGCCAAATTTTTTTAAGCTTACTCACCCATTTTCAAAAAGTTTGTGCCAAATAGAAATCTACTTTTCGTGACATTTTGGTTCTAAACGAGGCTTCTTGATTTGTAGAAATTTGTTGTTTAGTGAAAAGTACTGCTGATCATATCTGTAAGCTAACTGTAAAAAAAAACACAATTTCATTAATGATTGACATATATAGGGTGGGGCAAAAGTGATTATACAGTTGATCCACTTAAACATAGTTTAATTTTTAATGTCTTACTCTGAAACAAATAATAATTAAATTGCTTTCAGTTGTCTTCATAATATTTTCTTTTGTACCAACAATAAAATTCCAGCTGTACCACTTTTGCCCCACCATGTGTGTTTGAAGTAGATGAAAAAAAAACATTAGAAAACTCCAGTTTGCTATGAGTATTTAGATATGTCAAGTAACCATAAATTGATGACAGCATTGTTATGATGATCAATGAGATTTATTTAAAGTGTTAAAAGATTGATTTAAGAATGATGTGATTGCTAGTGTTGGTTGAAAAAGAAAACCTGGAAGTATTTAACAAAAAAAAGATGTGAAGTTTAACTTATGGAACAAAACAAATCTTGATTTTTTTTTTTATATTGCACTAAAATTGCAGCCAGCTCCAAACCACAACATGTCTCCACTCCAGGCTGTAAATCAAGGTCCATTTCCTTCTCAAAACCCAACTGGTACATCTGGTTTAGGTGCAGGGAGCACAACTTCACAGTCTGGAGGAAACCCTTCCACAACAGATTCTGAAAAACTGAAGTTGATCCAACAACAGTTAGTGTTACTCCTACATGCACACAAATGCCAGAGACGTGAAAACCAGGCCAATGGTGAAGTTCGTCAGTGTTCGCTCCCTCATTGCAGAACCATGAAGAATGTTTTGAACCACATGACAACGTGTCAAGCTGGAAAATCCTGCCAGATTAATCACTGTGCTTCATCTCGGCAAATAATTTCTCACTGGAAGAACTGTATAAGAAACGACTGTCCAGTTTGTTTACCTTTAAAACAGGCAGACAGAAAACAACAGCAGTTAGCTGGTGAGTGTGATTTTGAGAAAATAGTTTACTTGATTATTATTTATGTTAGTAGGAATTGAAAATCATTTTTAAAATTTATCTAACTAGTATCACTTGTTTGTTTACAAAAAATTGCAGCAACGATCCCTACTTTCTGTTAAATTTTTTTTTCCTATTTATCTGATTTATATTTTGTATATAATGTGTTTTTAAAACAAAAAAACAAGTAGAATAAAATTATATGCAATTTATTGTCCTTATTCTTGTAGGTCCTAATCATCTCTAATGAATATAACCAGTAATTCACATTTGTATTTTATTTAAATTGCTTCTGTTTATAATTATCTATTTTTCTGAAACAATCAGCTGACATTTTTATCCTTCACATCTAGCAGTAAATTTTTCAATCATCTGTTGTTAGAAGAAAAACAAAGGCCATGCATTTCATTGAGTTTTGAAACTTTGATATTTTCCTTTAAGAATGTCTTAAGAAGAATTTCATGGTGTGACAAAAATTTTTTCGAATTATTAAATTTCTTTTTGTCAAGGGTATTTGTTAATGATGTTTATGGGTCAATAGTTGTGAATGTGAGCAGAGTCTTTGGTTAATACTGGTTTTATTTCTTTGTGGCACATGGTTTTAGGCCTTGTGGAATTTTTAGGATTGTCATCAGTAGAAAAGTCTGTTAATGAGGCTGAAAAATCTGTGTATTTAATTACATAATGTCCAGAAGTATAACCATGAAAAAGTTAGATATTTGAATTTGCTACTTAGTGCAGAACACTTTTGATCATTGCAAGGTTAAAGTTATGTTCAAGTTCTTAGATTGTACATCAAGTAAAAAGCAGAATTATGATCACTTCGAATAAAGAAATGTGTTTTAAGATTCCAGGAGATTATAATGGTGAAGTGGTCACATATTTTTTTGCCTATGTGCAGGAGCACCTGTACAACAGAACCAAGCTAATCAAGGTCCTGCACCAGCTGACATGCAGCGAGCCTATGCTGCTTTAGGTTTACAGTACATTGCAGGAGGAAACAACAATAATGGCAACACCCAAGTTATGCAACAGAGACTTGGACAGGCTCAAGGTGTGTGATGAAAGATTGTAATACCTGTTATCTTTCTCTGTTTTTATCCTCATTACACCTAATTCATACTTAAACTACTCATATGATTGCAGAATTTTTATTATTATTTGTAGTGACTTCACCAGTGGAATATGTAATTGTAACAACCATGACAGAGAGTATTTATTTAGAAAACTCCACTTTTTGTTTCTTGAGATGTTCTTAAAAGTTATTTTTTCTTATTTACTTGTGGGCTAAAACACTAAGATAACATTCTTATTATTTGTAGGGATTGGAGAAATGCAGAACTTGAATTACATGTCTGTAACATCTCGACAGAATCAGCTGCAGCCTCTTGCTGCTGCACCTTCCAGCCAAGGATCTCAGTCACAAGAGCTCATCAGCACAACTGATGCTTGTCAGATCAATTTGATGGGAAGAAATCTGATGTCAGTGGGCTTATCTGGTGAAATATTGAGTCAAATATCATCCGCAGTACATGCTTCTCCAGCAGAACCTTCTTCAAGAACCAAGACATGGCATCAGTCTGTGTCTTCTAATCTGAGAAATTGTTTGGTGCAAAAAAATGTAAGTATTAGTTTTTCCTTTAAATATTTAATTAAAACTTTCTGTATTTAATAACATGCTTGTAAAAGTGGAATTAGTAGTAATTAATAAAAATTAAATTTTCTATTTTGTCTTTCACCGTTTCAAATTTGTTACCATAGTCTGTAAAAAAAAATTTTGTTTGTTGCTTAGAAACAAAAAAGAAGCTAAGTAAGTGGTAAAATGATTAATTTAAAGTTATTTAAAATATGTTTTACAGTGTGCAAACAATCTTTCCAACTCCTGATCCATCTGCCCTCCAGGACAGAAGGATGGAGAATCTAGTCACGTATGCACGGAAAGTGGAAAGAGACATGTTTGAGGAAGCCAATAGTAGAGTGAGTGTATTTTTAAACTTGATTTTGTGAGAAGCAGAAAATTTATGATATTAGAAATATGGAAAAAATAACTGTGCACAGAAAGTGTAAAATAGTTGTAGTTTATGTGTGTGCTTTGATGCTTATGAGCCATACCGAGATGAAATATTTTATATATGAAGTTGTTTCTATTCTTCAGCCTCGTGTTTTATAGCAGAATGATTGAGATTTAAAAGCTTTATATAATGTCAAACATTAATTTTATCAGTTTATTAAATAGATCACTTGATTAGCTCTTAAAAAAAGCTATAATTTTATTTTGTTATTAGGAACAATATTACCAAAAACTAGCAGAAAAAATTTATAAAATTCAAAAAGAATTGGAAGAAAAAAGAGAGAAAAGAAAACAACAACAAGAGCAACAGCTTCGTCAAGTTCATCAGGTTGGAACAAATATGGGAACACCGAGTCCAGTTGGTAGCCCTGGGAGAATACCATCAGGAAGTAAGTAAAATATAAGACCTTGAATAGAAAGTCTTTTGGCTTTTTGCACCTGAGATTTGTGCCAATATTTGATTGTCGTTATGTTAGTCACTGTGCCTTGAGTGAGATTATTTTTTTTATTATATTAATATAGATCTGATACACTTAAAAACTTACATAAGTGTGGGTTAAGTCCAAGCATACCTGGGAACTGACCTTGTAACCATTTTGTGCTTTTTATAGTTTTCATGCTATAACTTTTAAATTAGTAAGCATATGTCAAGGAAATTTGGCAGCTTATCAGTAAACATTACAATGCTTCATATTTAAAATGGTTATTTTTTTATTAAAGTCTTAAGGTTTGTTAAGTAATGTTTTTCTTTTTGCATGTTGCCTATCCATCATGCAAAGTAATTTTCATTGTAAGATTAAAAATACTTTTATGCATAAGAAAATTTTGAAATTTCACATGTGAAATCTTTATAATGTTGAGATAGTTATCCAACATTTCTTAAGAAAAACTTTATATTTTATCTGTTATTTTCACTAACATATCTCTGTATGGGTTTGGTAGATTTGACAAATCATGTAACCACCATAAAAAATGTGGAAATAAATATACATTATGCCTCTTTCATTCTAGAATGACAATAAAGTATAACACGAAAATATAAATGTTTAGACTAAATAGCTTAAATCTCATAACATTATACATTTATATATATATTTATTAGTTTATTATTTGACTTTTCAGCCATGCCTGGCTAACAATACAGAAGTTACAATGACACGGCACACGTGCTCTCATATTACCAT